ATTGGGTTGTTTTGACCCAGCGGTTGGGTTACTACCCAGAAGGTTGGGTTAAACATTTAACCCAGCCGCTGGGTCAAAACAGCCCAATTGCTGGGTTTGTCCCTATTTTACCCAGCACTGGGTTGTATTTAACCCAGCATTTTTTAGAGTGACTCCAAACTGCAAATTATCCAAAGAGAGCTTCTTTTATTATCACTTAAGCTGTCAATCAATCGCTTCAGTTTAAGATCACTGAGTAAGTTCTGCACTCTTGCCAAAAAAAAACAAAAAAAAAACATTATAATCAGTATTCAATATCACTCAGCTGCACATTAACACTCCTATGTTGCACTGTGACTTTGTGCAGTGAATATGCTGAAACATACAGTTGGAGATTCTGTCACTCTACAAACTGATGTTACTGAGCTGAGGAATGATGGCAGGATACTGTGGAAGTTTAGCGATAAAGACATTTTAATCGCCGAACTCAACCGAGCCACCAATCAGACCTTATTCTATGAAGGTCCTGATGGGAGATTCAGAGACCGACTGCAGTTAAACCAGCGAACTGGAGATCTGACCATCAGGAACATCAGCAGAGCTCATTCAGACGTGTATACACTTCAAATCACCAGCGGCAAAAAGAGTATATGCAAGAGATTCATGGTTATTGCCCACGGTGAGTAATGTGATGCTGTAAGAATTAAATATTTAGATCATATTAAGTACTAGTTTAACTTTAATGCTTAAAGACACACACTATGTAAAACTGATGTTAACACAATTTAATCAGTGCAGACACTTCTGTTCATTGCACAATTTTTGTATTTTTTCCCCCCACCCATTTACTCTGCTCTTCTTAAATTATACCAATAAAATGTGGATTTTCACATTTCAGACCATGCATAGTTTAGAAATACTGTTAAGAGTCACTGATTTCTTTTTTTTTTCAGTCATTCAGGTTTACGCTACATAATTAGTTCAACCAAACCGACAAAAATGTGCAAATCTGTATAAATAATTTCTTGTGTGGCGTACAAAAGATGATGTTTTGATGAATGCTAACACTTCTCTTTTCCATCACAATGGTTTTGTGTGAGGAAATGAATGAATGAAATTAGCTATTACACACTTGTGCTGTAATTTAGCTTCAATGCTACTGCAGCAGTAAGATTCACTGTTATAATGTTCAGGTTTTTCTCTTTTTTGTGGTGCTGGGACAAAATAAAGAGAAGA